TGCCTTCCTGCCTTTACAATTAGAAAATATGCTAATATTAATAAAATTATAGGCAGAAGGAAGAAGATTCTTCTTCAAAATTCTTCTTTTTAGAGATTTATTTATTTATTTATTTATTAAGTTTATTTGTCACCCATCTTGCCTCAAGGCAACTAGAGATAGACCACAATGGCTATTCCTAAAGTAATTTGATTTGATTACATGAATTTTCTTATTATAATTTTGGAGTAAATCTCATATGATACTACTATATCGTAGTAATAATATATACAAGTATAAAATAAATGCCTTTATTTATTTTGATGTAAGAATTCCCAGTTGATAAATTCTCTGTTTCAAATCCTCTGACCTTATCCCCTCTGTTGATACAAATTAAACTAGAAGACAGAATGCCTAATATTTGTGATAATAAAAATGTGATCAAAATAAATTTAATTCCAAAGCTGATTTATATTTTGAAACGTCTTTCATTTATTAAGTCATATTAAAAAAAATAAAATAAAATCTTTATTATGGTCAAAGGCCAGCTTAAGAAGGGTGGGATATAGACAATAAAAAAGCATAAAAATACATCAGAACCTAAAAAAATAATTATTATAAAATGCTACAAGATATAAAATAGAAGGGTATATTTAAAAATAAAAGTCTAAAAGGAATCTAAGAGGAGGAATAGGAGCATTAAATGGATGTAGGGTAACATAAAGGTAGTATACATGCAGACTATCACAATACGGAGCACTATAGATTGATGAGCTAATGCCTATTAAAACTAGTTTATGGCACAGGTCATCTGACAGATTTTAAGTGCTGCTGTGCAAAACTGGCAACATTATAGGTTGTACAGTAGTAGGTTTGATATCTGAGTGTAGCAGGGAGGTGTAGAATTGTCTTATCCACTAGATATTTATGCAATAATGCTGAGATGAGGCTAATACAAATGTTATTATAATACAGGCACTGGAGTCTTACTGGGTGCTCTATTGTTTCTTTGAATCTAGAGTTCCAGGGACATTGTCTCTCCAGGTAGAGTATCTTCCTCTATCTTCGATAGTCAAGGACAGATGAGAAGACAGCATGACATCATGCCTGTAGGAGATGAGCCAGATGAGCTGGAAGGCTGGGTTAAATATGTCAATAGTTTGGAGTCATTGCACAGTCACAAGAGATCCAAGTCCAGCCCCCTGTGAATTCCACTGACCCTTATCTAACACCAATTTAGGCTGAACTGTTAGTTGCTCAGATTCTTGTAAGTATGCTGCAACAATTACCAATTCTATGATTCAAACTGAACAAATACTCCTAGTAATTTGTGCCTTACAATGCTAGAGTGAAGGCCCTCTGAGTTTAGATACTTTGACATTAGTTTAAGTATGCCATAGGATTCACTTGTTGGATTTACTGCCAATAAAGGTTGGCGACGTGGCTTAGTATTAAACAAATGAATTGAAGGCTAGCTTTAGTCATTGGCTAAAATTTTCAATATATAGCTCTTCTTTGGCTCATCTTAAGCAATTAGTATTTGGCCCATTGAATCCTGAGAAGTTCTGAGATCCTTGTTGGTGTGGGATCAATTTCAATATATGCACTTAATCCCAAAGCTATATATGGAAAATATTTGTCTATAGCTTCAATTTCGATCAATTTCCCATGATGATGTGACATTAAGGGATAATCCCTGTTTAAAAATAGTGGATAAATTCCTCTTCTCATATTTTTAACTTGGATCAGTTCAATTGCGAGAAAGCCAATCTTAGATTGGGGGGGGTAGTTTTACATCAGTGTCTTGCAGTGTTCTTGGCAAATAGATGGGGAAGAAATGGAGGCAGTGACAGATTTTATTTTCCTGGGCTCCAAGATCACTGCAGATGGGGACTGCAGCCAAGAAATTAAAAGGCGCTTGATCCTGGGGAGGAAAACTATGGCAAATCTAGACAGCATACTAAAAAGCAGAGACATCATCCTGCCAACAAAAGTGTGTATAGTCCAGGCTATGGTTTTCCCAGTTGCAATGGCTGTGAAAGTTGGATCATAAGGAAGGCTGAGTGCCAAAGAATTGAGGCCTTTGAACTATGGTGCTAGAGAAGACTCCTGCGAGTCCCTTGGACGGCAAGGCGATCAAACCGGTCAGTCCTAGAGGAGATCAACTCTGACTGCTCTTTAGAAGGCCAGATCTTGAAGATGAAACTCAAATACTTTGGCCACCTAATGAGAAGGAAGGACTCACTGGAGAAGAGCCTAATGCTGGAAAAGATTGAGGGCCAAAGAAGCAGAGGACAACAGAGAATGAGGTGGCTGGATGGAGTCATGAAGCAGTAGGCATGAGCTTAAATGGACTCCAGGGGATGATAGAAGACAGGAAGGCCTGGAGGAACGTTGTCCATGGGGTCACGATGGGTCAAACACGACTTCGCAACTAACAACAACAACTTGCAGTGTATCCAACTTAAGCATTGTATTCAAGCAATGTATTCAACTTAAGCATTTGTACCCTGCTCATAAAGACTATCATTCTACTGAATTTCTCTGTGATTCTTCTGAACATAGTTCTTTAATGTATAATGCACAAACATTGATAAATACTGTATCAGGCAGCACCAGACAAAATAAAAGGCATTTGCTTTGCTCACAGTAAGAAATATTTGCCTTCTAAGTGGTTTTTCATTATAGTCAAGGAGTGTTTTGTACATTTAAAGTATCCAGGAGTGTAAGCACTGCCTTGCTAAAATCAGGAAAGATAAAAAACAGTAATAATACCCACTTCATCCTTGGAAAGTATCATTATTTTGCGCTACCAACAATACTTCCTGGCGTATTGCCAGTTTGGTTTCAGGTAACAGACAAATCTCATAAATAAATAAATCCATCAAAGCAGACATTGCTACTTTATTTATATATTCCACCTTTATTACTTCATAAGTAACTCAAGGTAGAGAAAATACATAATACTCTTTCCTCTTATTTTTCCCAGAATAACAACTCTGTGTTCTGAGTTTGTCTGAGAGAGAATGATTGGCCTAAAGGCACCCACCCCAGCTTTCATGGTTAAGGCAGTCCTAGAACTCACAATCTCCTGGTTTTCAGACCAGCACCTTAATTACCAGACCAAACTGACTATTAAAATTACTTCCCTAATTCTCTAGCCTAAAGAGAACTATGAAGGATTAAGGTAAATAGTATAGTTCACACAGTACATGAGAATGGGTTAGTGATGTTCAAAAAGATCAAGTAGCAGGACCTTGTCCTCCAAGTCAGAGATCGCCATGATGAAACAATCAACATCTTCAAAGGAATATAATTACAAAGGAAAAAAAAATAACACACTATCTTTTCTGGATATCCCCATCAGCAGAGGAAATTATGACAAATTAAACATGCAAGTCTACCAAAAAAACCCAACCCATATTAACCAAGCGCTCCATTATTAAAATAATAACCCAACCTCCCACAAGAAGAGCTGTGCAAGAACATTATTCAGGCAAGCACATACAGCAGCAACCTAGAACACCAAAAAAAGTCTACAACATCTTGCAACAAAATGGACACTCACACAACTTTTATCAAAAAGAATCTGACCAATCAACCCATTACAGCACAGCCAATACAAGCTATGAAAAGGATAACATCAAAAAATATCTCATAACTATGCAGAAACAGGATTTGGTTTAGCTTCTCATTAAAGGATGATCATATATGCAGATAGTCTAAAAGAAGATACCATAAGGTCAGAAAGGATTTTAGGATCAGCTGAGAACATAGTTCCGATTGGCAATTAAAAAAATTAAAAATTATTAAAAATTAAAAGAGCCTTGGTGGCGCAGCGGACTAAACTGCTGTTAAAGTAGCACTTAGCTGCCAGCTGCGTGCAATTACTGCGAGTTCAATTCTCACCAGGCTCAAGGTTGACTCAGCCTTCCATCCTTCTGAAGTAGGTAAAATGAGGACCCAGTTTGTGGGGGCAATAAGCTGATTTTGTATAAAATAGAACACCGCTTGGGGGGGGCCAAAAAGCCCTACCAAGCAGGTATATACAAAAGTATGAAGGCTATTGCTTAATGCATTGTAAGCCGCCCTGAGTCTCCGGAGAAGGGCGGCATATAAATCGAACTAATAAACAAACAAACAAACAAACAAACAAACAAACAAACAAACAACAAGTGCTTCAATGAATTTGTTGTCTGCTGGTTTCTATCCAGAGTAAGTTGGTAGACAATTCTCAGATGGGTGAAAGGTTTCAACTGATTCGAATTTAAAGGATGCCAGATGATACCAGAAGAACAGTCACCGAATTCAAGGGCATGCCTGAAGAATAAGAGTATCAAAAGGGAATGGCATCACGACACATATAGCCAAATGATCTTAGTGTTTGGTTAGTACTGAAGAGAAGAAGATAAAGTGAAGGTATGAGTGTGGATTATCCAGTCGCTTGTCTATTGCAAGTCAGTGCAAGAGTGGATAGTGCCTACAATATTTTTAAGCCCTTTAACCTAGAATAGTAAAAAAAGTAATAGGACTTGTAAAGGACAGCAGTGGGTCTGTCTGGAACACCATAAATTAAGTTGCATCATATATCAGAGGGAAAAATATGCTAAGTGCATTATTCTATGCAGAGGAGATTCAAAATTTATGAATCTCAGCAAATCAGTTATCAAGGTTTGGAACTGACAATATACTTATCTGGTTTAATAAAACTTGGCTTATATTTGGATTGATGCTTTACATCTTTTTTCTTTCTTTTCTTTTTAAATAGAACTTTTCTGTTTTAATCAGTTCCGGAGACCATGTTTGTGACTCCCTGGTTTCAGTATTCTTTTGGGTGTTATCCCAGTTTACTGATGTAAGAAACATAGCTTACACATTAAGTGCAGTAAAAGACACAGAACTCCATGGAACTAGGCCAGATCTGCATAACTTCGCAGTGTTGGTAGTAAACAGGAAGTCTCTGCACAGAAAAAGCATGATTTACAACTGATTCTACAGAAACAAATGGATTTACTTCTATAGCCCATGCCTCAATGTTGCAATCCCATATTTCTTCTCCTACCCTTTCTGTAGAGTGGCTAAAGTTGGTGGAATACTCTAGCTGGTTGGAGAAAAGGAAGAAGAAAGAAATTCTCACCTAAAGTTTAGTGGAAAATGCCAAAACCCTGGAAGAGAAATGGTATCAAAGGAAAACAACAATAAAACAATAAAGGTAAATGCTGTATGCACTTGATATACTAGCCTTTCACAAAAGAATTTGATGTCCTTTTAAGATTATTTTATTGTAAAATGTTTGTCTTTTAGGTTGTCCTTGGCAACCTAAATACTTTGTTTTAGCATCTGAAAAAAGATCATTTAAAAATGAAGCAAAAAACCATTTAGAAACATAATCCATATATAACATGTCTCTTCCCCCCAATAATTCTATTTATATATATTTCTAAATTCCTATCTGCTGATAAATAATTGAAAACAACAAAAAATTAGAATTTAAAGAAAAAGTGTAATAAATGAGCAATAGAAATTGAAATAGGCATCTACTTAATAACTTTCTGGTACAATGCCCAAAATACTGAGCTTGTAAAGCCTTTTGTAAGTGGAAAACTGATTTTGCTGGAGCCAAAACAGTCTAAAACATTAAGGAGCATTTATAAAGTTAGTGAAGTAAAGGCAGCTGAAAATAATTTGCCTTTGGAATGATTTTCAGTGTTATCAACATAGTTATATAGATTTAAAAACAAAAGCCTCTTTGCATCACATTCTAGGGTCGGGCAGGGTTGGGCTTTGGCTAAACAAAACAACAGTCATAAATATGAACCAGTTGTGAATTTTGATCACTATGACTATTTCACACTTACGACTATGCAATAGTCATAAGTGTGAAAAAGATCATAAGTCACTTTTTTTCAGTGCTGTTGTAACTTTGAGCAGTCAATAAAAGAACTGACTATCTGTAATGCATGAATAACAGTGGTATGGTTACAAATTATGTCCACTATTTTAAATGCCTTAAAAGAAGACAAGATACAAGACTGCACACACACACACTCTCTCTCCATATAGATCAATGTACACTAATTTAAAATTAAATTAAAATGTCTCCTATTCAACATTGCATAGGAATGTAATTAAGAACTACATTTATCTATTTTGTTTTGCTAAATAACAAGTCAGCAGCCTGGATTACAATCCACTAAACTTTAGGCAATCTCAGCTATTGAAGTACCACTAAGTTGTGAGAACACAACTATTACTTTCAAGTTATTCTGATTCCATAGTTACTGAATATGCGCCAGGGAATGACAGAAGTTGTAATATAACATTCTGTGTGTACCACAATTCCGTAGCAAACATATTATAATTCAGCATGCTTATAGCTTAATTGAAAAATCATTTAAAGCTCTGTTATTCACATAGAAACAACAAGTAGACCTCCTGTACACCTCTCTGTAATTGTTTCCTCCCACTGAAGAAACTGAAAAAGAGAAATTCCCTATCATTTTCCTTCAATTTGGATTGCTAGACAAACAGTGACAAATAATGAGGAATTAGGCTGCCCTTGCTACTGGCAATCATTGCTATAATCTAAACTGACACTGCAAAGCCCAGTCTGCAATTTAACAAAGCAAGTATCAAAATCTTGCCTTAAAAGACAGCTTAAATCTAAACATTTGACAAATAATTCTCACAAAACACAACTACAGAACAGTTCAAATTAATCAGGACAAAATTGGCTGAGCTAAAGAAAACCTTTAACGTATTGCCCAAGAATCCAATTCATCTCTTTCGAAGATGGCCATTATTTCTAATGACCTATATAGTGCAAATATACGAAGCTGTAGCAGTATTAAGACCTGCAAGTTTACTGAAAACTTCCAATACAGCCTTAAATTTTGTATCAAAGACTTGGCAGAACAATTAATTATACAGCAAAATGGATGGAACAGCTTGATTTTTGATGATAGCTTGAGACACCTAATCTCTTTTGAGTTTACAAATCCTTCAGAAATGGAACCACCACATAAATGCTATGCCTTAAAAAAGTACTAATCTCTTATTACTTATATATGTTCTAATCAAGAAAGATATATCATATGAAATTGTGGGATTGGTTGCTGCCATGAAAGCCCTCCCTTTGCTTTTCTCAACTTGAAAATTTTCTTTCTTGCCTCCTTAATTTTTTTTTTATTTTATACTTTTTAAAATTTTCAATTTTAAAATTTTAACTCTAACATTTTAATTTGACATATTTTGATGCTGTATTGTACAACCACCCTGTGTCCCTCTTTAAGGGAAAGGGGCCATTCAGAAATGTGAAATATGTATAAATAAATAAACTGCTTAGCAAACCGTGTTAAAACAGGGGGAGCAAGTCACTTAAAGGAGGAAGCAGGGCCATTTCAAATGGGTTTATGGAGTGGGAAATGTGAGAATGTAACTCTAGCTTAATTTATAGGTCATGCACAATTACTTTGGTAGACTTTCAAGATTATGTTACATTAACCTAATAACAGGGTAGTGTGGTGGTTCTATGGTTAAGATGCTGGGCTTGTCAGCTGAAAATTTGGCATCCCAAGTTCAAGACCCAAGGGTTGATGGATGAGTTCCCATCCTCACCCAGATTCTGCCAACTTAACAGTTTAAAAGCATGCAAATATGAGTAGATAAATAGATACCACTTTGGTGGGAAGGCAACAGCATTCCATGACATCATACTGGCCATATTACCTCAGAAATGTCTTTGGACAGTCCTGGCTCAATGGTCTTGAAACGGATATGAGCACCATCCCCTACAGCAGGGTTGAAATCCAGCAGGTTCTGGAGAACCAGTAGTGGAAATTTTGAGTAGTTTAGAGAACTGGCAAATACCACCTCTGGCTGCCCCCAGAGTGGGATGGGAATGGAGATTTTGCAATATCCTTCCCCCAGGAGTAGGGAGGGAAGGGGGATTTTGCAGTATCCTTCCCCTGTCACACCCACCAAGCCATGCCCACCAAGCCATACCACGCCCACCAAGCCACGCCCACAGAACTGGTAGTAAAAAAATTTGGATTTCACCACTGCCTTAGAGCCAGCAACAACTAGCAAAGTAAAATCCATAGGGACTCCTTTACCTTACCCTAATAACAATAAAGATCTTTCAAGAAATCTAGGGGTTTTTTTCCTTGATGCATTTGCCCTGAATGACTTGATGAAAATAAGATAAATGAAAAACTAAGTCAGATCGTTTGTGGAGAATGCTAATTTTATTCTCAATACAACTGAAATGGACCATTAAGCAGATTTAAATAGTTGCTGATTAAACACTGTTTTAGAATCACATGCCATTCTTATAATGTAAACTATTTTAATCAATGACAGCATGTTTTAAGCCAGCAAAATGGTATTTGAATCAAATTCTACATATTTAACAGAAGCATGAAAAGGAAAAATATACAAGAGCTAACTGTAATCAATTGAAGGCAAAAAGAAGAAGCAGCAGCCAAGGATGAGATGATTGCATAGTGTCACTGATGCAAAAAATATGAATTTGGGAAATTCAAACAGTGGAGGACAGGGCCTGGTGTACTACACTCCATGGGGTCGTGAAGAGTCAGATACAACTTAATGACTGAACAACAATAACAATTGTAGTCAGCATTGTATCTTAATCCTATAACTAAAAGTACTTCTGGAAACAGCCATCTTGACAATCCTTTCTAATGCTGTACTGATCTTACAATTAAGGATATGTTGTTTAAAATAAAGTCTTAAAATAATCTGGCATCTGCATGACATCAACTAGCCAATCTTGGCTGCTGTCAGAAGCTAAAGAAAGCTAACCTGTTTAATACTTGGATGGGGATTATTTGAGAAACCCAAGGAAGTTGGCCTAGACCAGGATATTAAAACAAAACCTAGCACAAGAGAATGGCAAATAACCTCTATCACGAAGAAAATTGCAAGGATGCAGGTAATAGAAGGTGAGCTTGATTTGATGATAACTTTAACTTTTAATCAAAATTCACCTGTTCAGATAGCTTGCCTTCATTGTGCTTTGCTCTTGACTAAATAGTAGTGCAAAGGGGAGGAATTAACCTTCATTCTCTCTTGGAAAACTGTTACATAGTTGAAAACAGAGTGAATATACATGTTCCAGATGTGAACTAAATACATATTCCATCTCTTGCACAAAAATAACCTATAGGATTAAGGGGAAACACTCTTCCCTATTTTATTTATTTATTTATTTATTTAACTTAATTTAATTTATAGACCGCCCTACTCCTGAAGGACTCAGGGCGGTGAACAGCCACAAGATAAAAATACATCATACAAAAGTTAAAAACCATGTAAAAGTACATTAAATAATTTTGGCCCAAAAAATGAATTTAAAAACAACCAATTTGTATAAAAGTTAAAAACAAATTAAAAGGCAGAGTCAAGCCAGACCAGCCTGCTGGAATAAAAATGTTTTGAGGGTGCGGCGGAAAGTGCGTAAATCTGGGACCCTCCGTATCTCTAGGGGGAGCTCATTCCAGATCGCAGGTGCCCCTACAGAGGAGGCTCTCCCCCTGGGGGCCGCCAGTTGACACTGTTTGGTCGACGGCACCCTGAGAAACCCCTCTCTATGGGAGCGTACTGGTCGGTGAGAGGCTACTGGTGGCAGAAGGCGGTCTCGTAAGTATTCTGGTCCTAAGCCATTATTGATAAGCAAGGATAATTTCTTGAGCCTACTGATGCTTGTTCTCAAGCAGAAAGAGAAAATAACATTCTCGGCTTGGTGCTGAAGGGATTAAAGTTCTTCCTTGAAAGATCAAGCAGAGCACTCTGTCTTCCAAGAAACTCTGAGCTAAAACAGTGGGGGTGAAGACTTTGATCTCTGCCTCCTTCTGAACAGGGAAGGGCAGAATACTCTGACCTCCCTTCGCAGCACAAATTGCCAGGAAATGAATGGAAGCTGTCAAATGATCTATGATCCTCTGATCAGGCCTCCATCATGTCCGTTTCCTGATCTGTCAGTACTTATGTTACACTATGCCATATATTGCTTTAACTATGGTTAGTTGATTAATCCACAATTTGCTGGATATATACACACAGTACCTCCAAAATTTAAAAGAAAGTATATATTTTGCATTGCCAGATTGGCTGAAGAAAAACATCAATTTATAAATAAATAGTATACATCTTGATTTATAAATTTTTAAAAAATCTCCAGATGTTTCATGT